ACCTGCCCTTTAAGGTACTTCTTGGCAACTACACACCTTACTTCTGTCCATTTCCCATTGGCCAGAATTGATTCATGTAGCCATACCTACAAGCAAGAAGATACTGAGAAACACAGCTGTGATTTGGAGGGCCATGTGCCAGGCTAAATATAAGAGATTCTATTCCCTGTAAGAAAGGGAGAGTGGATATAGAGGGTCAATTTGCTGCTCCTTGTATACTAGCATTCCTTTAAAAAAAAAATGCCTTCAGTAAAGTTAGTTCCTTAAGTTGCTTCTTCCTCGCCCCCCCCCCACTTTTGTGGGCTGTACAGAGGATGCTTGTTAAGAATAGGTTTATTGGGGGGTGCCTGGGTGGCTTAGTTGGTTAAGCGTCCGACTTTTGCTTAGGTCATGATCTCGCGGTTCGTGGGTTCGAGCCCCGCGTCGGGCTCTGTGCCGACTGCCAGCTTAGAGCCTGGAGCCTATTTCAGTCTGTGACTCCCTCTCTCTCTGACCCTTCCCTGCTCACGCTGTCTCTCTCTCTCTCTCTCTCCTAGAAATAAATAAAACATTAAAAAAATTAAAAAAAAAAGAATAGGTTTATTGGCTGCATCAGATGTTGACATTATCAGAGAAAAATTCCAAACACATATTTAATATTTTAAAAATGATGTTTAAATGTAAAAAAAAGAATAGGTTTATTGGCCAAAAAATTTCAGAAACATTAAGGTCTCGTAGAGGTTCACAAAGCAGAGTAACATACTGAAGGCTCCAAGAAGCTCTGCAGTAAAGAAATGTGTCTATCCTTGTTTAACTGAAGATAATTTGGCCAAAATCCCTTTTTAAAAATGTGGGGTTTTTGTTTGTTTGTTTGTTTGTTTTTTTGGCAGAAACCCCGTCAACAAAAGCTCTGGGAAACACTGCTTTGGGAATTGTTAAAGATTTCTTAGCCCTGATGTAGACAGTTTTACAGTAGTTCTACTCCTGGGGATGTTATCAACAGAAATGTGTGCATATTGTGTCAGTCAAAGTTTAATCGAAGAAACAGAAGCCCCAGGAGATGTCTAAAGGGATTTATTGCAAGAAGTTGATCTAACGCAGTTGGGGGAGCTGGGTAGACAGCCTGTGTAAGGCTGCTGGCGTTCTGCTGGCACTCTACTGAGCAGGCAGTTATGGAAGAAGAGAATATAGTTGGGAAGATGGAGAGAAGCTGAAACTCATGGGGATGTACAGGAACCCCGGTCAGTCCGCCGCCAGCTTTAACGATGTGGGTGTCCTGATGAAGCTGATGCCCTTTGTTATGGAACTAAACACACACCTGGCTTAGGAGTCAGAAGGTGAAAGAAGATCCAAGGGAGGGTGGGTGCAGCATTCACAGGCCTGGCTGCCACCCCCTGCCCCCCTTACTGAGGTCTGCAGACGAGCAGCAATGCACACGAGCTGCTTGGTGTTCCTGCCACAGCCTTCTGATGTGATTACGATATGCCTCCTGCTTCCCTCTCACATCCGCATCCCACCTGGAATTCACAAGGAAGGGAATTCTGAGAAAGGTAGTTTGACCTAGCCAGGTTGACCTACTACAGAGCCACGCCACATGTGTTCACCAGATGACTTATGTATAGGACTTTTCATAGCTGTCTCTTTGTAATAGCTTCAAATTGTAAATAAGCTAAATGCACATCAGCAGTTAAATAGGTAACCTGTGTCACATGCATAGGATGGAAGTAGTAAGTGAACAGACTATTGCTTCGTGGATCCGCGTGAATGAATCTTGCAAATAATATTGAGCAAAAGAAGACACCAAAGACTATGAACTATGATTGCATTGATATAAATTTTAAAACAGCTAATTTATAGTGTTAGAGGCCAAGATAATAGTTCCCATTGAGAGAGCATTAATGAGGGGCACAAAGGCTTCTGGTGTGCAGGTGATGTTCTCCTTCTCGGTCTTGGTGCCGAAGTATGTGAATGTTGGGGAAATTCACTCAGCTATAATTACGGTTTGTGTGCTCTTCTGTACTTAAGTGTCAGTAATAAAAATTTTTGGTAAATGAAAATTTTGTTTGATTGGTTTAAATGTTTATTTTGAGAACGCACAAATAGGGGAGGGTCAGAGAGAGAGGGAGAGAGAGAATCTCAAGTAGGCTCTGTGCTGTCAGTGCAGAGCCCAATGTGGGGCTTGATCCCAGGACTGAGATCATGACCTGAGGCCAAGATCAAGAGTGGGACACTCAACCGACTGAGCCACCCAAGCACCCCAGTAATTAGAGTTTTAACAAGTTACTGAGAACTCATGGACCATCTGGGTTGGAGGAAAGAAACGGTGTAGGGCTCTCTGAACCCATTACTTGGTGGCAGCCAGGGAAGAAGGCAGTGGATAACAGAAGTGGCAGGTTGGGTAGGTGAGGAGGACAGGGTCTGCCTGAGGGCATCGCAGCAGCCCTGTCCCAGGGGCTGTCCCTTCCTAGGCTGGCCACCTCTTCCCACCACAAAGGGTTAGGGCCGTGTACACAGGCCAACGCAGGAGCTCACCAGCAGAATCCCCATGTGCCATGAGGGAGGGACCAGTGTCCTGTGCATCTGGGGTAGGCCCTATCACCTTTATATGTTCTGTGGGTGTCCTCATGGACCACACAGGCAGAAAGCCACTGAACCACAGAGATAGTAGACATGCATGGAAGGGGATAGATGGGAATAACTGTGTCCCCAAGTTCACCCCGCTGTCAGTGTGCAGCCTGCTTTTTCTTGTCTTTAACCCTGACGCACACAACATCTTTCTGTTTTATAAAATCCTAATTCCCCGTGCTTTTGGTTTCAGCTTTGTTAAGAGTCAAGATTTCTCTCTTGAAAGTAAACTATTTGAAAGCATCTTAGGCTCTGAATATGAGGTTGGATAACCCTCCGTGACGTCTGCCATGTTTGGAGACTGGATCATATGTAGGTAGACCGGAAGTGGAGCTTCTCTGATGCACAGAGCGTTATCTGAAAGCACTGTGGGTTGAATTATTCACAGCATTTCTAATGCCTAGGAAAGTATGGTTGGGAGTGTTGATAAGAAGTTTGTTCTAAAATAAAATGCCATCATCCCTCCCACCCCTGTTTATACTCTTAGGGCCATCGCCCAGTCCTGGGCAGGTCACCCCAAAGCCTGCCGCTTCCGCTGCCCTTACCACCCCAACTCTTCCCACCTTTCTTTGCCTTCGAAAGGGTCATTTCACACATTTCTTTCCCACTTGGCTGAGGCTTGTGCCAGGTGCTCAGAGCACAAGGGAAGTATGCGAGCCTCTGTGTTCAGGGAATCTGTATCCCTCTTGTACTGGATACTCAGGAATTTATGTTAAATTATTTTCTCCCTCATTGTAGTTGGGAATTAAAAGCTAGAAGCATTCTTACAGGTGAGTCTGTATCCTCACGGATTGACTTGCCCTCATTTTACAATAAGGAAACATGGATCCAATGGGTTTTACCAAAAAGGCCACATAGCTTGTGACAAAATCAGGCCTCGAAGCCAGTCTAGCCTGGCCTAGGCGCGTATCTAACTGCTCCACCCCACTGCTGTCAGGTGATGGGTCTAGCTCCATGCAGGGAGTCCAGGCCCAGCCTGGAACCTCAGCTCTTGTTTTTAAAGTTTATTTATTTATTTTGAGAGAGACAGAATGAGCAGGGGAGGGTCGGAGAGAGGTAGGGGACAGAGGATCCGAAGCAGGCTCCAGGCTCTGAGCTGTCAGCACAGAGCTTGATGCAAGGCTCGAACCCATGAACTGTGAGATCATCACCTGAGCCAAAGTCAGACACTTGACCCACTGAGCCCCCCAGGGACCCCTGGAACCTTAGCTCCTGGCAGCCCCCTGTAGTGCACCAGCTCAGCTGGTTAGGGGTGACTCTAAGCAGGTGTTCTATTTGTCTCATTGTTTCCTCGGATGTAAAAATGGGAGAAAGTTGAAAATGTGGTGATTGATGGGACAGCTGACAATACTAAAAGCCATTGAATTGTTTGCATTAAGTGAGTAAATTGTATAGTATGTGAATTGTATCTCAATGAAGCTGTTAGAAAAAATAAAAATTACTTCTCACACATAGCTCAATGTTGTTATTTTGAAAATTTTTGAACACGCAAGAAGACAGTAGGGAATATTCCATAGTGTGCTGTCAAGATGCTGGGTAACAGTCGTGCAATTCTCTTTCAGTCTGATGGATGCTCGTCACTGCTCACATTCTCCTCTCTTCTAACGTTTATCCCCTCGAACTGTAATCTGTGGTCTCCTTGTTTATCTCCAGATTCTAATCTCTTTGCAGTCAGGGACTGTGTCTTATTGGACTTCATAGCACCAACACTGAGCTCAGTAGAAACTCAGTAACTGATGATGAGTGAATGACCCCCAAGGTTCTGGAAGCAAAGAACTGAAGGCTGAACATTGGATATGGCCTCACCTAAGGAGAGAAGAGAGAGAGTTCGGGAAGGAAGCAGAGCTACCTAGACAGAGAAGTAGGGAAGAAACCAAAATAGTATTCTGTCATGGGAATCCAGGGAAAGGAGGAATACAGTGTTGAGGAATTCTAAAATGCCACAAAGAGGTCAATGACAGAATTAAAAAGAGTTCGGGGTTTGTCAGAGTCTTCAGTAGCTGTAGAAAGACACAATGGAGCAAGATCTCAAAGGGTTAGGGAAGAGAGATGGGAGCAGAGGGTAAAAAATTTGCCCTTGGAAGTAAGGCCATGAAAGGACGTTCGGAAGTAGCTGAGCAGAATGGAGCACCAAAGACCATGTCCTCACTAGAAAGGAGAACGGGCTCCTCTGTCGGCAGAGGGGAAGGCTCCTTTAAGGCCTGTCTCCTGGCCGTCCGGAGTAACTGGGGAACTCTGCCAGCGTGTGGGTAGTGGATGAGATGACCCACTTGAGCATCTTGGTGGCTGAGCCAGCAATGCATTGATTGGGCAGCTGTACATCCTCAGCCCTTGGTCTACGTCCTTTTCTTTGAATGACTTTGTTTCTTTTAACTTGTCACCTTCCTTTCCCACAGGGAACATGGTGGAATGGTGCTTACCTCAAGATATTGATCTGGAAGGTGTTGAGTTCAAGTCTATGGCCAGTGGGTCCCATAAAATTCAGTCTGACTTCATGTAAGTATTTCAGAATGTAAAGCTTTTCTGAACTATTTCTGTCTCCTCATAGACTTTCCCTAGAGCATAAGGGCTCTCATCAGGGAGTTTCCAAAGGTGTATGGAAATGCCCTGAAAAAATGTATATATATATAAATTTATGTTTATATCAGTTTTCTAGCAAGAAGGTCCCTAGCTTTCATGAGGTTCTCAATAGGTTTCATGACCCCAAAAAGTTAAGAACTATCAGAGCTTCTCTCTCCCTTTTATTTTTCTTTAATTTTTTAAATGTTTATTTCTGAGAGAGAGAGAGAGAGAGACAAACAGCATGAGCAGGGGAAGGTCAGAGAGAGGGGAAGACACAGAATCTGAAACAGGCTCGAGGTTCTGAGCTGTCAGCACAGAGCCTGACGTGGGGCCCGAACCCACAAACCATGAGATCATGACCTGAGCTGAAGTCAGACGCTTAACCAACTGAGCCACCCAGGTGCCCCTCTCTCTCGCTTTTAAGAAAACACTAGATCTTACTTGAGGTTTGGCTTTATTGAAAGAATGGACATTCAGTACAGTTTGGGTTAACTTAAGCCATTTATGTGCTAAAACTTGAAAGTCCACCTTTCAGTGGGGCCAGTTTATAGTCCTATGTAATTAAGATTCGTGTGAGGAGGAGCAAATGAATAGAACACAAGGGTAACGAAAGTAGCTTTAATCTTCTCACTGGGCTGAAAACCATGACAGAAGTGTGAGAAAGGGGGAGGAAATAAAGTGACAGCCCTATTAAAAACATCAGAGACTCAGGCAGCGAGGAAAGAAATGACATGTACAAGAAATAAAACAAAGTACCTTTCCAGAAGGGCCTGAAGATGAATCTTTGTTTTGGTTCCTTATGGTGTCTGTAGTTATGCAGGAGAGGAGAAGGGATCTGTCCATGGTCATGGGCGGTGCAGCAGCAGACTTGCCAGAGGTCAAGTCCTGCCTCCTGCTGGGTGACCCTTGTGAGTTGTGTAATCTGTTTACACCTGAGTCATCTCCTCTGTGGGGTTGAGTGGCCTGGGCTGACAGTCCCCTGTGGTCCTAAAACGTTCATCTTCAGGCTGAGAGCTTGTTCATGCAGAGCCCTGGACACAGCTATCTGTTTTCCTCGGGGCCGCTTCTCACGTTAGAAAACAAAGCCAAACAAAATTTCTCTTCTGTGATTTTGAGCCACACGACGCCTTCGGTCCGTTTTAGCTATTTCCGAAAGGGGCCATTCTTCGGCCTGGCCTGCTTCGCCAACATGCCCGTGGCAAGTGAGCTGGAGCGTGGTGCACGGATGAAGTCTGTGGGCATCCTGTCTCCGTCCTACACCCTGCTTTACCGCTACATGCACTTCTTGGAGAACCAGGTTCGGTATGTGGCTTGCGTACGTGTGTGGGGCTGCCGCGGGGATGTGCCAGCCGGTGGGTGTGTGATGAGCCCTCGGAGACGAAGGTTGTGGGCCACAACAGCACATGCCCCTGCACGGACATCCAGGCCACATTTCCCGCCTCAGGTGGTGGTCTTTTCTGTGTTAACCCAAGTCCTGCCCTAAAGACTCTTCACACTGGGTTGGATTTGCCTTCGGTCTCTGTTAATACTGTCCTCGGGTTTGTTGAATTACAAGATCCGTTGACAAGTACAGATCTTTGATTACCCTATGCCACACTAATGACCTCCTTTGCCCTAGGTGGGGAAGCAGACTCTAAACTCATCATTCATTATTTGGGGTCATTATTACTACTTGTGGTAATAGGTAACATTTTTTTAATGTTTTTATTTATTTCTGAGAGAGAGAGAGAGAGAGAAAGATAGCATGAGCAGGGGAGGGTCAGAGAGAGAGAGATACTGAATCTGAAACAGCCTCCAGGCTCTGAGCTGGCTGTCAGCACAGAGCCAGACATGGGGCTCGAACCCACGAACCGTGAGATCATGACCTGAGCCGAAGTTGGATGCTTAACCAACTGAGCCATCCAGGCGCCCCTAGAAAGGGAATTTTTAACAGAAGCAGTGAAACTGTTCATTATCTTCTATATTTTTTCCTTAACCTCATTTCAGATTATGAGAGAGAGAGCTAATCTAATCCCTGAAGCACTATTAAAATATTAGCATATTTGCCTCATTTTCTGGAACACAAGTGTGTATACTTTTAAAATATATATATGCTTGCCATCATACTTTCTATACATTTTTATATGCTATATTTTTAGAATTTATTTGAATTTTTTAATATAACAGTCTTTCTTGATTGTGATCTTTGAAAGAACATGAAATTTGTTGCTTGTGGGGAAAAAAATGTTTATTATGTAAAATGTATATAAAAGTACAAATGAGGGGAATCTGGGTGGTTTAGTCACTTAAGACCCTTAGACTTAAGTCACTTAGACCCCCCTTTTTTTTTTTTAATGTTTATTTATTTTTGAGAGAGAGACAGAGCACAAGTGGGGGAGAGGCAGAGAGAGAGGGAAACACAGAATCCAAAGCAGGCTCCAGGCTCTGAGCTGTCAGCACAGAGCCCGATGTGGGGCTCAGACTCATGAACCATGTGATCATGACCTGAGTTGAAGACAGATTCTTAACTGATGAACCACCCAGGCATCCCTGATTCTTTTTTTTTTTTAATGTTTATTTATCTATTTTTTTTAGAGAGACCAAGTGTGTGTGTATCCCTTTTAATCTATAGATACATCTTTTGTTTTTAATTTTAGGAACCTTTTCTACTGTAAGAAAATATTTCACTTTTCCATTCTATTTTTTTCCCTTCTTTATGCACTGGTTAGGCATGTTTTCTTTGTATTGTCCTCCATATTTATCACTTCATAATTTTGATCATTATTTTAATAACTGTGTGATGCCAGAGCTGTCCTATTAGTTTTCTTCATTATTCACTATGGTTGAGCATTTAGCGTATTTTGTTTCTTGTTTTTTTTAATCCTCTATATGTTGGAGCTGTGATAAACATCTCATGCAGATCTCTTTTTCTATATTTGAAATATTTCCTCAGTTTTGTGTCTCAGAAGTAGTATTATGGGGTTAAAAAACATTTTTATTGGGATCCTGACACTCTAAAAAATTATTATTCCTTTTGAAAAAAATTAATTTCCCCAAGTAGACAATATTTTCTCATGGTTCAAAAGTTAAAAGTGATAAGGAGGTATTATATTGGTTAGCCTCCTAGCTAAATGGCAGTAACAGAGGCCCCAAAATACAGTGGTTCAAATAAGATAGAAGATTCTTTCTCATGTAATAGTCTAGAGGTCAGCAGGTGGTCAAGGTGGGTAACCTGTTGTTTCATACAATTATTTAGTGACCCAGACTTCTTCTCTCTCATGATTCTACAGTATCCTGAGAGTGATTTTTGTATTCTAAGCTGTCCTTCTCAAGTGTTCTAATCTGCTCACCACTAATGTCTGCATCTAGCCCTTAGGGAAGAGGGAAAGCCCCAGAAACTGCATACATCACTTCTTCCATAACATTGTCAAGTTCTCCATCAGAAAGACATACCTAACAGCAAGGGAGATTGGAAGAGGTAGTTTCTAGGTAGGTGACCCTGTGGCCAGTTAAAAATCTGGTGCTTCTGTTGCAAATAAGAAAAAGGGACAGATGGATTTGGGGGCAAAATCAACAGCCCGTGTTTCAATATGTCCCTCTTGCGATCCTGATATCCATCTCTTCTTCTCACATGTAGAGAACATTCCTCCCACCCCAGGGAGACTGCAGAGAGGCTCATCAAGTTGATGCTTCTAGTCTACAGTCCAGGATTTCTGTGTGATATGAAGCAGTCCTTTTCAATAGATCAGCACATGGTTCTTCATATCCTGAAAACTTACAGAAGAAGAGACAAATTCATTCACTCTCTACCTCCTAAATGCAACACCGAAGGTAGAGTAGGAACCACAGTATAAGCTCCTATTTGGAAAAAGGAAGGATAAGAAATACAAGCAGCCATTAGTCCATAACGCTCACGAAATTCTGCCAAGCAGGGGTTGCAAAGTCTCCTTGTCCTGGCGGCATAGTAAGTTCGTTGGTGAAACTGTGGTTCTGTTAGTGAGAATCCCCTTGCCCATTTTCCTCCATGGCTCCTGGCTTTGTCTTCTAGGAGATTTTGTATCCATTTTCCGCCACAACCACTTCTTTTTTTTTTTTTAATTTTTTTTTTAAATTTTTTTTTTAATTTATTTCTAGGAGAGAGAGAGAGACAGTGTGGGCAGGGGAGGGTCAGAGAGAGAGGGAGTCACAGACTGAAACAGGCTCCAGGCTCTGAGCTGGCAGTCAGCACAGAGCCCGACACAGGGCCCGAACCCATGAACCGCAAGATCATGACCTAAGTGAAAGTTGGACGCTTAACCGACTAAGCCACCCAGGCGCCCCAAACCGCCACAACCACTTCTGAAGCAGGCGTTGGGGAACATGACCTTCTTGAGGTTGCACATCTAGAGAACACCTTTCTCGCTGGTGTAGGTTGGTGGGTCTAGTGGTTTCTTTAAGGGTTGAGCAGTCACAGGCTTTTATAGGCCAAGCACATGATACTACAAATCCCTCAAAAACTAAACAGTCTTGTGGTCTGTTCGCTTCTAGTCAGTTCCAAATAAAAGTATATATTGCCAAAGATTTCTTTTGGGTCTTAGTGTTTAAGTCAGTGGACTGTAGACTAGTTACTGGTGTCTGTTCTTGGCCTGTCCATCTTTTCTTCATTTAAATGGCAACTACCTAAAATGAATGAATGAATGAATGACAACTACCTCCTAAATCTGATCTTTGCAAATGGGCCTGTCTCTCATGACTCCACTCTTACCTGGAGTTCATAGAAGCTTTGAGGGAAATTCTTATCTCCTGCTTTTGGGGGTACAAAAGCCGTTGGCTTTTCCAGTCCCATGGGTCCCAAACACTTGGACCCTCAATTAACTTACAGTGCAGAACTCAGAACACGCCGTTCCTTCCATTTCTGGCCTGCAGACTGGCCAGATCTTGCCTCTTTTCATCTTGCTCTTGGAGCAGCTCTCTGAAAATGAAGGGCGACCAACATTTTATTTCTAACTGCTTCTCCTGAAGTTATGAGTTCAGGTGACAAGGGGCTTGTCTTCCAAGTCACTGAAGTGCTAGAAAGTTCCTGCTACAGAGGGCCATGGATTACCAGCTTTTAGTCTGCAGCACCTCCTCTCTTACCACCTGCCTGTGCCAGTGGTGAAGCCAGGTGCCCCAGTGTCTTTTCTGACAATGCAGTAACTCGTTTCTGGGTACCATTTTCTGCTTTACCTGCAGTACAAACTAAGTTGCTACAACAAAGAGACCCAAAATATAGTGACTCAAAGGAGAGAGAAGTACAGCTTTTCTAGCACAGCAGTCCCGGAGCGGGGAGAGGCAGTCCAGGGTAGTGGATGGCTTGGTTCCTCTGGGTCATCCTGGGACCCAAGTCTTTCTGTGCTCCTGTCTCCTAGTGTATTGTCCTCATCTGCATGATAGACGCGGACTCGCCATTATCAGGTCATGTTCGAGCCTCCAGGAAGAGGAAAAACTCAGGAATCCCCCCAAGTTAAACACATCATGTCTTTGCCATGCCTTTGGCCAGTTCATTACTAGCCACACCTCACAGCAAGAAAGTCTGGGAAATGTGGTTCTTAAAACTAGGTGACTGATGCGCTACCATCAGAAAGTTCTATCACTCAAGGAAGAAGAGAGTGATGGTCTCCACTACTGGCATAAAATGAAAAGTCTTCGCCCAGTTCCAGTATCCATCCAGTAATCCCAGTGATTACTGTTAATTTGTCATCTGTCTTTCTGAAGTGTCTGTGTACACAAATACAAACACACATTCTTTTCTTCCCTCCTTTTCATGCAAAAGTATCAGGTTGTACATGTTGATTTGCACCTTACCTTTTTCTTTTTTTTTTTTTAATTTTTTTTACATTTATTTATTTTTGAGAGAAAGAGGGAGGCAGAGCACAAATGGGGGAGGGGCAGAGAGAGAATGAGACACAGAATCCGGAGCAGGCTCCGACACGGGCCTCGAACCCACGAACCGTGAGACCATGACCTGAGCCAAAGTTGGACACTTAACTGACTGAGCGACCCAGGAGCCCCTGCACCTTAGCTTTTTCAATGAAGAATATATCCAAGGAAATAATATTCTGTTATCAGTACAGAGAGTTTATCATTTCTCACCATTGTATTATATGCCTTGTCTAGAAGAACCAGGCTTTATTAAGTCTCTTATTGATGGACATTTGGTCGTTTCCAGTCTTTTGCTATTACGAATAATGCTGTACTGAGTACCTATGTACAAGTATCATTACACGTATAACAGAATATGTGTACAATAAATTTCCAGAAATGAAATTGATGGCTCAAAGGGTAAAGGCATTTGCAATTTTAAT